GCGGCGAGCGGGGGCGGGGGGACGGTTTCGCGCCCCCAGGCACAACATCTTTGAAAATTCGGAGCCTCCCCGCTGGCCTGGGCAGCCCACCGGCCAGGAGCCGGCGCCCAGTGCTGTCTGGGCTCCTGCGGCGCTCCGGCCCGGGCGGCGGCAGGTTCCTAGACCCCCGGTGGTGTGCAGAAGTGAGCGGCGGCTCGAGGTTGTTGCACGCTCCTTGCCTTGCGTTTTCTAGGTGGGAGAGACAGCGTGAGAGGGTGGCTGGTAACATCGTCATGGCTTTTGTTTATTTATTTTGGGCCTGGAAGAATCGTGCAGTCTTAATGCTCCATTCAGGAAAAAAAAAGAAAAGAAAAAAGACAACTTTGCAGTTGTTTGGAGCTCCTACTGCTTCTTTCGGCGTTCGGCCGTGCTTGATTGCTTTGAATGGTCTTTTCTGCGCCGGGGAGACAGGTTTTGAACTTGCACATCCAAATCCGACGCTCACGCTGCGGGGAGACATCTGCCATATGGGCTCAGTAGCCTTTACATTTGGGTATTGAGTTTCCACCCTGGTCTCCTCATACAGGCCAGTGGCACCTGTTAGAGTTCTGGCTAGTTTAATTTTGTGTAATCCCACACAACTTTGTTTATGGTGGGAATATAGAGCGTCGTGTCCGGTTATGTGCAGAAGATACAAGTAGGCAGGTGCGTGCTGCAACCCGGTGCAGCTCATCCCAAATAAGGAATCTTGACAGAACGCCAATTTTGGCCTTTCTTATACTTTTCCAAGAGAGAGAATTCACTGTCCAAGTGTGCTCTTCTTGCCTTTTTTCCCGTGAGACTAAGTGGTTCACCTTGTTACCTGCCCCTTGGAACGCCCCTGCTGGCTACCTCAGGCGCCGCCTCCACACACGGAAACCTGCCTCCCGTTGGCTCGGTTAATTGCAGTTATTTCTGGAGGAGCCTGCGTTGTCTTGCCTAGACTCTGCTTTTCACCTCAGAGCCCTGTTCTCTCCGTGCTGATGTTAGGGACAGCCCCGCACCAACACTGTGCCCTGTGTAACTGCTTAGTAGTTGATGAGAAGCTCCTTTTGGAATATGATTCTTGGCAAGAGAAGTCTGACTGTGATCTACGAAATATCCAAACAGTAGTAAAAATTGATATTTTAACATAACCTACATAGTTATGTGAAGTTTTTAAAAGATTAGTAATGTTTTAGTAACTCTTAACATTAACTCCCATTTCCCCATAACCTTTTCCCATTTTTTAATTATCTAGTCGAAAAGTTTGATCTTTTGTTTGAGAGAGAGACAGTTTTCAGTATGTTTAATAAATTAGCTACCTGTGATTACCATAAAAAGATCTGGAAGATATAACGCTGTACCAGGGCTTGTTTAAAACAGTATTTCTTATTTTAGGAAGACCGACACTGTCATCTGAAGTGGGAATAATAATTTGCGACATCAGTAACCCCGCCTCACTTGATGAGATGGCCAAGCAGGCCGCGGTCGTCCTCAACTGTGTAGGACCAGTGAGTACTCAGCCCTTCTTTGTGTCAGAACAAGCGCTCCATTCTTTGCACAGAGTCTGGAGCACAAGGACAGAGAACAGAAGAGCTGGTTCAAGGCCTTAACCCATGCCGGTGTTTACCCCGCTGTGAGGCACATAGGGCGTGAACACGGCAGTCTGAGAGAGCGCAGCTTCCCACGCAGGGCGTGTCTGGCGTGTTTGCTGGTCACCGTTATGGCTGCCAACTTTTTTTTTTTTTAACTAGGTACCCCGTAAGTAAAAAACATTTGTGTGTGTCCCCCTAATGTGTGTTTATGTATTTATGAATTATATTTCTGTATTGCTATATAAGTACATATGCTATATAAATATATATGCTGAAAACATGCAAAAGTAAGTACTAAAAAGCATTGATTATTCAATACTGAATATTGACTGCTCTAATCTAGGCATGTGGGGCTTAGGGGGACCAAAACAGAAAATCCCTTATGGAACTTACTGTCCAGTGGAAGAGATAGAAAAGAGCCATACCAGTACTCCAGCAGTGCTCTGAAGGAAGATGGAGTGGGTAGAAGATTTAAGGTGTCAGCCCATCAGCCCTGCTGGGGCTAGGCAGGGAGGCTCCTGGGAGGATCGACAGTGGGGAGAGCCCTCCGCTGAGCGAGGAGCAGACAGCGTTGAGTGTTTGAGGAGAAGGGCGCTTCGGGAAGAGCACCCACAGGCCTAGATGCTGCGCGGCCCGATGGCACGTGAGAGCCATAGCCGGGTCTGAAGGAGGGCAAAAGGTGGGCGTAGACTGCAGAAGAGCTCAGGATCGCTCGCACGCGGTCTCACGGGGCAAGGCTAGGATTTGGGTTCCCGCTGAGCATAATGGTGCCATTGAATGCTGAAAGCAAGACCTAGTTTTGAACTTCCCCGATAAGGAACAACCCGAGAGCCCAAGCGGCCCAGCACAGGGTGATGTGGTAGAGCGGGCAGTGTTTGGGTTCAGAGTGTACTTTCAGGGCCGACTGCCCAGCTTTGTGACTGCGTGGGGTGTGAAAGAGGTACCGGTGTGGGCAGGGAGAATGTTGGTGCCAGTTACCATCTGAGTAGCCGTCACAATGGCAGAACATTGGGAAGCTAAGCGTTTAGAAAGTTGCTGCAAAGCAGTTTTTAATTGAACACAGAACTTTTTTTTTAATGAAGTAAAAAATTGTCTAGAGTTATTCTTTTTTTTTTAAGATTTACTTATTTATTCGTACAGAACTGGGGTACAGGTCAGAGATGCGGAGGGTGAGAGGATTCACCAGAGACAGAGTGGGGAGTAGAACATGCTGATTTTTGAAGTCCACTGCTGAGGGGAGCAGCGGGCGGGTCAGGAGAGGTCTGCTGTGCCCTGTGGTCTCCTCCGGGGCAGGCGGGAATCGAACTCATGCGGAAGTGGCTTTAGTTTCTCAGTGCTGTGCTTTAACCCGCTGCGCCACAAGGGAGGGCCATCTAGAGTTATTCTTAACCAGCATAGATTCTCGCCCGCTGGCATAACCACTCTCATGAATATCTCGGCCTACCCCGTCCTTGCCTCTCCAGTGCTCTGCAGCCCCCGGCCCTCATTATTCTAGCTCTGCCTTCGCCTCGCCGGAACAGGAGGGCCCAGTGCGCTGGAGAACGCGCCTCCAGGCCGCACCCCTTGGGGCCTGCGGTGCCCGACCCCCGTGGACCCCCAGCGCCGCAGCTCGGCACTTCCCTGTTGTTCTCTCTCCTGCTCCCGGAGCAGCGGTCTTCCAGCTTGTTCTGTTACACTTCTAGCACCCAGCCCTCTTCTTCATCCTTGTCTGATGAATTCATTTCTTTCTTCTTTTTTCTATGGAAATAGACCCTGAGAAGCGAGTCTCTTCACGGTGCCTCCCCTCTTTGTGCCCTCACCCTGCCTGACCTCTTCTGAAAAGCTGCCCCACGTACGCCGGGCGCAGGGGCACTCACGTCCTCTGACCACAGTGCCCTCTTTACTGGACCGCTTCTGTCAGTATACAGAAGGGGGTTGTAGCTTCGTCTTTAAAAGGCTTCCCTTAATTCCACATATCCCTCTAGTGACTCCAGGCCCATGTGTCCCCTTTTAGCAGAATACTTCCTGATCTCCTACTCTGACTTCAACTGTTCTTCTTAGGCTTTTATCCTCACTCGTTCAAAGAAGCTACATGAAGTTTTGAGAGCAGGATTGCAATTCTGACCTATAGATTTATTGACTTCAGAAGGGAAAAATGTCTTCTCTAAAATCAAGGACTGCTATTCTGACTCTGGCCACTCATCTCAAAGACACCTGTGTTCTACGAGAAAGAAACCAAAATGGTTTAGGGGGTATCTACGTGGAAGTGTCACCATGTCACCCAAAGGAGTAGTAGCTCAGGTGTGAAAAAATACACCCTAAGGGGTGTCAGTTGTAGTGAATAGGAAGGAAAAGGCGAACTCTTTCCAGAAGGAGCGATTAGTCACAGAAGCTCATTGTGGCTTCACTGTAACTCGCCAGTGCTCGTCCACAAGCCGAAGAGCTGAAAGGCTGAGTCGCTGGCTGAGGCCGGGGAAGTGAGCCTGAGGCTGGAAAGCCAGGCCTGGCAGTCTCGGAACGGGGAGCGGGTGTTCAGGGAGTAAAGCAGAACCGGGCAGCTGAAGCAGCGGTGTACCTGGGCCATCGTAGGAGTCCAGACCTGCCGGCGCGGGGTTAAGGGCTGCGCTCACGTGACGCAGGCGTGGGGCTTCCGACAGACTCGCCAGCAGCGCGGAGATGCAGTGAGGGCTTTGGGGTGGGGCCGTGGCATTTCAGAATGATGAGTCCATGTTTCTTTGGGCTGCACTGGCTGCAGGGGAGACAGCTTCTGTCGGTAGGAAGTTAGGTGAGGGGGACAAGGTTTGGAAGGGCAGAGGAGGGGGTTTGCTGAGAGCTCCGTGACGTCCCGAGTAGGTAGAGCCAGAAACAGCTGCCAGGCTTCTCGTCTGGGAGCTGTGTGGAGAGGGATGCCGTCAATAGAAACAGAGAAGTAAACCTTACATTGCGGAGTCTGTGCTAGCTTTGCTTCATGATTATTATCTGAGTTCATCCTCACTACAGCCCGATGAGGTACGTGCTATAATTAGCCTGGTTTTTTTGTTTTTTTAAAAATGGGTTTGGCGAAGTAGCCTGTCCAGGAGCACAGTTAGTGAGGACAGGGCTTGGATTCAAATCAGGCTTACTCCAAACCCCACGTGCAGCCACTGCTGTGACTCCGCCTGGCTTCCCTGCTGGGTCAGGCAAGACAGGAGCAGAGGTGCTGAGTGCCCGTAGCGGTTCTGGTGCGTGGAAGTGGAGAGGAGGAACAGGTTTTGGAGGAACGTGGCGAATTTGACTTTGAACATGTTGAAACGGAACTATCTACGTGCTGTTCATCCATTAAAACAGGACATTGTACAAGATGATGGAATCATTTGTTTTTAGTGAGAGGAAATCAGGGTGAGGAGAAAATAGAGGAGGGAAGGAAGCCGAGTGAACACTGTTTTACGCTTGGGTCTTGCACTCCTGGTCGTCGGCTTTGTAACAGACCCCACAGATAAGGATAAGGAGCTCCTTACCAGGACCGTCCCTGGAGGCAGAGGGTGACCGTCAGCGTGGGTGTGCTAGTCGCTATAGCTGAGGTCTTCCAGGCCTGGTAGACAGGCCTCTGCTTCATGAGCAGGATCGCCTGGAGGCTTAGTTTAGGTGCAGGTTAGTGCAGTTACCCCAAAAGCCTGATTCAGGAGGGCCTTACCATGGGGTGACTAACCGACGTGTTTAATGAGTGACCCAGGTAATTCTAAGCAGATGGAGTACCAGCCCGCTTGAGAAACTGGGGTAAAATAACAAAAAGAAAGGTCAAGAGTTCTCTAACTGAGTGTCCAGGAGGATGTGTATAATCTTAAGAATTACCCAGGGTGATCCAGTTGGTACAGAAAAAAATTTTTGACATCTATTTTAATCTCCACTTTTTTCTATTTTCTGATGTTTAAAATGTACATTAATATGGTAATACATATAATCGTAAAAAAATTATATAGGTAGTATATAATGGACTTGGGGAGTGAACTTGGATCCTTCTGCCCTCAAAAACCCTTCTTGGTCCCATTACACTACCCCGACTGAGAGGTATGCACTTCAATAATTTTATGAGGTTGATTAATGGCAGAGAGGGAGCTAGAATTTAAGTACACTTTACTAGTTCAGTAGTTTTAATATAATTTTTATTCAAAAGGGGGGTGGCTAGTTGGCTTTTTGGGCAGGTAGAAGCAATAGCCTACCTGACCAACCCGGAAGGTCAGGACTGCACTGCCTGTCTTTACCTGTTTCTTGAGGGCCGACAGGAAGAGTATCTCTTCCTACATCTTTTGTTCCTGAATGAGGAAAGCAAAGGGGCTTGGGCTTCTCCTTATGTTGTCTTCACATAGGAAAAAATTGCCATTTTTACTTTGAAATGGGAGAGGTTCTTATGTGTTAACTATTATACACTAAAATTTTTGCTTTCTTTTAGTTTGAGCAACAAATATTTAGAAGGCCCAGTATGATCCAGGTTCAGGATATCTGTTCTGTCCAATATTAAACACATCCCCAACCTGTTTTTCTTTACTTTGGTTTATAGTGTCAGTAGCTGTTTGTCTCACATCTAGCAAAGCAGGACATCCACCATGGCACTGCACTGTGGGAGACTGCTTAGTGTAGCTACATCATTTTCTCATTTTTTAACTCTAGGTTATTTTATTATTAATATTTCTTAATAACTTAGACTGTACTTTAAAAATGCAGTAGTATTGCATTCACTGAAACTTGCTAAGTAAGAGTAAAATGTTGGTTTTCTTTATTTCCGCAGTATCGATTTTATGGAGAACCTGTGGTAAAAGCATGTATTGAAAATGGAACTAGTTGTGTTGACATCTGTGGAGAACCCCAGGTATGTAAATAAAAAGGAGAAAACTAACACAACCTTTTGTTAAAATGTAAAATGTTTAGTGTAATTTTGCAGATGGATTTTAGAAGTTGATGGCAGCTCTCTAGTTTTTAAATGATATCCCACTGATAACTTGAAAGAGAGCATGATAGGGAAAGTGTATCTTTAGTTTTCTTGATTTTTTTTTTCTTCCCTGCACCTTCTTTTGCTTCAGTTTCATTGTATATAAGATGTATTGATTTATGCATATAAGTACAATGTACTGATTTTTTTAAAAAGATTTATTTATTTATGCACACAGAACTGGGATATAGGCCAGGGGCAGTAAGAGGCTTCACCAGAGACAAAGTGGGGAGCAGAACAGGCATATGGACGAAGTACACTGCTGAGGGGAGCAGCGGGTGGGTCAGGAGAGGTCTGCCACGCAATGTGGGTCATCCCCGGGGCCGGGGATCAAACTCGCACTGAATTGGCTGTGGCCAGCTTGCAGTACTGTGTCCTAACCCATTGCGCCACCAGGGAGGGGCCACAGTATACTGATTTTTATATGTATGTAGGATATACTGATTTTATTTTGATAAATGAAATTAGTCAAAATAGTGTGCTGTGTACCTTTCTCTTAATCCCACTTTTAGAACTTTTTCATTAACAATTCCCTTTTTAAAATCAGGCACCTTTATATTACAGGCATATAAATGGAAAAGTTCTTTATATGAAAAATTTTAAATGTTCACATTTAATGAACGCTTACCCCATACCTAGTGTTATGCTAAGCATTTCATGTAAATTTTCAACATTCCTGTCAAACAGGTATCTTTTCTCCTATTTTGTAGATAAAGAAATTGAAGCTTAGGAAGGTTAAATAACTTAGTCAGAGTCATGCAATTAATAAGTAGAAGAACAAAGACTTGAACTGAAATTTGCTTGACTGTAGGAAGTGGCATTGTTAGAAACTCTAAGCTATAAACCTATAGCCTCATATGTCCCTGTAGTCTTTATTGATTACATCATGAGTGTGCCACTATAGCATGTTTATCTATTGGCAGTATAAGTTGGAACCACTCAGAAATTATAAATTGTCAGAATTGATTCAAGGAAAGATAGAAAATATGAATAAAAACAATTCCTATCTTATTTAAAATATTCCAGAGCAAAGAAAATAATGAGTCACTTTTAAGTTATCATTATAAACTACCATTAAAATTATATCAAAGCCTAATAAAGGTCCAGAATATATAGAAAATTTATGTCAGTGATGCAAATTCAATTAATTTAAAAAATGGGTAAGGGAGAGGAAGAGACAAATCTTTACAGAAGAATTTCAAGCAATTTATGTAGATTCTTTGCCCTCAAGGATGGAGATGAGAACATTAAGCCCCCCCCCCATCCCATTTCTTACATGTGGGCAGCATGCAGCCGATTCTCCCAGAGTACATGGAAGGGGGACTAGCCACCCGATGGGGGAGAAGCCTCAGCCCCTCCGCAGCCAGAGTTTCAGCATTAGCAGGGAGAAGTCATACTGCTAGTATGTGCCCTTGGGATGTGACAGGGTGACGTTTTACCCCCGTCCTCCCCAAATCTTACTACTCCAGTCTGGTCATGACAACAACAGGAGATAAATCCCAGTCGAGGGAGTCTACAGAATGCCTTACCAATACCCTGAGGAACTGGCAAAGTCACTAGTAAGGAAAGGGTAAGGAACTGCAACAGCCAAGAGGAGCCCAAGGAGATGTAAGGAGTGTCCTGGTTGGAACTCTGGAACGGAGAAGGCACAGTAGGTAAAACCTAAATAAATATGAGTGAAGTCAGGAATTCATTTAATGAGATTGTACCAGTAGTGGTTTATTTGTTGTAACAAATGTTGCTTTAAAAGTTATAATAAAGAAATGATGCAGGGAACTGGGAAACTTTAGTATGCAATTTTAGCAAATATAAAACTGTTCTAAAAACAATTTTTAAAAAAAGACAAAGGATTGGAGCAGACACTATTCCCACCTTGCATTCCCGACTTTCCTGCCATTCTGTCTTTGTACTGTGTGTGTGCATAGATCTATGACTGTGGTGACGTTCATCTGGGTAATGTGCTTTGGAGTAAGTGTACTGCTTTCTTTGTAATTTTGATAATAGGCATATTACTTTTACATTTAAAGTAGTTCTAAAAACTTTATAGTGTGAAGTCAGATCTGCATTCTCCTGCACCACCTGGGACATGTAGACAGACAGTAAATACTTGTTACCTAGGTGAAAATAAATATTTTAACAGTTAACATTTGGTCACAGTGCATATTAGCTAGCTTTTCAAAATTTAATTGCTTTATCTTCAAAAGTAAACCTTACAGTAGTGCTGTAGATGTTCCTGTATGGGGCTCTGATTCATACCTTTTTGTCCTGAATTTTTTAGTTTCTGGAACTAATGTATTGGAAATATCATGAGAAAGCTGCAGAAAAAGGAGTTTATATCGTTGGAAGCTGTGGTTTTGACTCTATTCCAGCAGATCTGGGAGTGATATATACCAAAAGTAAAATGAATGGTAATTATTGACCACGAAATTTAACATGTTTGCATTGTGATAAACTAAAATCTAGTTGGGAAAAAAGCAACTGTAAGTGTATAAAGTTAAACTCATGCCCTGTTATTAATATACCCACTCTCGTGATAAAATTCTCTTGATGCTACTGTTTTTTGACATAGAGCATATGTCAGTGTTCTAAAGTAAGGTTGTAGTGATAAAATTTCTGGAAAACTTTTTGGCCTTCATTACAAATTCAAGTTTATTTTTAGAGTGTAACATTTTAAAGTACAATTTATATAGCTAAAGTTAAAAGGTTTTCGTTTTTTTTTAACCAACAAAACTAAAAAATGTTGAACAAAATTTTGGGCATCTTTTTTACCCCATTTTTAAAATCGAGACTAATGTAAGAATGGAAAAAATTATTCATAGTATAGAAGCTACAAATGTCTTGCATTTTTTCAAAGTGCCCATTCAGAAAATGACCTGACAGCTCCAACGTACTGTAAACTTACTTAGAACTTTGACAGCATAGAAAGTATTGCAGTTTACATTAAGGTTTACTCTGAAACCGAAGCCCAGTGAAGTAGCAAAGGAAAGGGAGAAAGCTGCAAATCACTCTTAAATACGAAATGAGTAGTCATAAGTCTTCTTGAAAGCTGTCACACTGAAAAGCCAAACAGCTCCCATAGGAGTGACTTGAGCTCTGTGTCCTAGTGGCCTAGGATGAGCCATCGAGCGGCTGTCGTGTTGGGCATTGCCAGCTGCATACTGAAAGAGGCTCTGTCAGTTCTAGCAGTGAGAGTTCCTGCTGGACTGCTACTTCCCACATGTCCTGACGTTAGCTGCAAACGTCTATTTACAGTAACATAGGAAAACTTTTTTTAAAGATTTATTTACTAATTCATGTAGAACTGGGGTACAGGCTAGAGATGCGGAGGGTGAGAGGCTTCACCAGGGACAGAGTGGGGAGCAGAGCAGGCAGATCGACTAAGTCCACTGCTGAGGGGAGCAGCCGGCGGGTCAGGAGAGGTCTGCCGCGCCCTGTGGTTGCCTCCGGGGCAGGCGGGGATCGAACTCATGCGGAAGCGGCTTTAGCTTCTCAGTGCTGTGCTTTGACCCGCTGCGCCACCAGGGAGGGCCAACATAGGAAAACTTTTTAACATAGATTTTCTGATTTTAGCAGCTGTAGACCGATAAAATGGTCCCTAGATGAATAGGAATCGTTTGTTACTATTTGTCATGGCTTAGTAGATTTTTTTTTTACTTTACCTTTTTCCCCTTTCAGGTACTTTGACTGCTGTGGAAAGTTTCCTGACTATACAGTCTGGCCCTGAGGTTAGTTTTTCTGTTTGTCAGGTGTTTTGAATTAGCACTAAAAACATTTTGCAAATGACATAAACTTCTTTAGATCTAGATTAATTCAGTTATGTGTGAATATGTGTGTGTCATTTTTAGTGTGTTAATCGTTATGTTTAATTTTAAAAAGTAAAGGTATTTGATTGCCAAGAATTCCTTTGAATTAAAATGGAATTTATTTTTTAAACAGCTGCACAATTTATTAAATTAGAATTAACCCCATACCATGATCCTAACACTAAAACATTTATTATCTGATATTATTCAATAAACAATATCTGCCCAGATATCTACCACCTAGTACAGATTCATGAGGAGCATCCGGGCAAGCCCACTGACCGAGGTCAGCCCCAACCAGGAGCGAGTTTTCAGGGAGAGGCCTAGAGCAGCAGCATCGGCTTCTTCGTGCCGGTGGCCGTCTGCACCCCGAAATGGCTCTGTAGAGCCTGGAGTTTAAATCGGGCTGTATTTTTGTTGGTGGTTTATATGAATTACTTATGTATTTTGGATATTAACCCTTTGCCTGACATGTGGTTTACAGATATTTTCGTTCCGTAGCCAGCCCTTTTGTTACACTGTGGTTTCTTTGAATGTGCAGAAGTTTTTGATTTTGATGTGGTGTCTCTCTGCATTTCAGTGTTCATGAAAACTATGATATAACAACCTGCCTTATCTGTTGGTTTTATTGTTTCTTTTATTTTACTTACTAATAATCAATTATATGGTCACATCTGCCTTACTGATACTCCTTTTTCAAAGTCTTGTGAGAAAGTTGATTTTGAATGATTTTAAATGATTTTATTTATGCAAACAAAGTAAACACAGTCGTTTACAATCAGAATTATAAATGAAGTTGAAAGTGTTCATGTAACCTAAACTGTGAGGCATCAACACCTGTGTAGGACCAGCGAGTTTAAGGAAAGCGGCCAGGTACCTGGCTGAAAACTCAGTGACTCGTTAAAAAGTCTTGAATAATGGTCAGAGGAAGAGGGCACCTGTCAGGATAGACAGCGCCTCTGACCGCACCAGGGCCGCTGCTGCCTGGGGCTGTGCTGGTGCCAGCCGGGGGCGCCCTGCGGGTGGGCGGGCTCACTCGGGCGGCAGGCCGGGACTCGCTGTGAGCAGCCGAGTGGCTTGCTCGCATGTCTGATAGTTGTCACGTAAGACATGCTTCATTAACTCTAGAAATATTATATTAGGGAATGTGTATTCATGACGGCACCTGGAAGTCAGCAATTTATGGTTTTGGAGACCAGAGTAATTTGAAAAAACTACGACAGAAGACAAATCTGAAACCTGTCCCGGTCATTGGTCCAAAATTGAAAAGACGGTATGTTCACCTGATCTGTTTCTCAGCTTCTCTTCCCTGAACTGATCGTTAATGACGTATACCACTAGGAAGAGTCTGGGGCCTTTTAAAAGTAAGTTCAGCATTGTTTTCAAGAAAAACAAATGAAATATACTTGTACCCACGCTTAAGTACTTTCTTTATACATATGAACTCTGAGAAAAAGTGAATTTCATGACTTGTTACTATCAATATCGAACTACATGTCAGTCAAATTGCACGTGGTAAAGCCTCCATCTTAGAGGATGATTTTATATAGCTGACTCATAGCCTCATATGTGAGAACTCTAAACATAACAGAATTTGGCTATTGAAACGGACGTTCTTGTCCGGTTGTCCTGTAAGTCAGTGGGCTGAAACATGACTAAAGTAAGTTAAGTTCAAGCTATGAAGAGTGCTGTGCTTCTCCATTTGTCACCTGCTGGAGTGACATGTAGAGGATAAAAGACAAATTCCCAGAGCACCCAAGAAAAGCTAGAAACTCTATTCAGACGTCTGCTAGCTACAGTCACAGTCGCTGCGGACAGAGACAACACACCGCCCTCCCGGGGCTGTCTTGCAGGTGGCTGATTTCTTACTGCCGAGAACTCAACCGTTACTCCATTCCCTTCCTGGGGGCGGACGTGTCTGTTGTGAAGCGAACTCAGCGTTACTTGCATGAAAATTCAGAGCAGTCACCTGTACGTATTTGTGATTTTCTTTTTAATGGAGAAAATTTTTTTTTGGTTAGCATTCCTCTCTCTGTTTAGTGTAGGTCTGCTATGTTTATAAAGCAAAAAAAAAATGTCAAACTAGTGCCTGTTTCCGTTTCTGGAAGGACACAGATTAGTAACAGAGGGCATCTTGCATCTTACAAGAGTGATAATAACCACCCCGGATTCAAGCCTGTCTGGCTGAATGGTTCTCTCATTGATACGGCATTAATATTTCTGCTCAGAAATCCCAGTGTCTGAAGCACCCAACAGTCCCTCCTTGGAGTTTAAGCTCTTAGAATATCCGAATGTTGTGAAGATGTCTGGGGTCCTCTCTTTCCCCCCGTTAGTTCTGGATCAGCATTCTGTTTCTCCTGAAGTACTGCTGAGACTGAGCAAGCCATTCTCTTACCTTGCAAGGTAAGAGCATTCTCATAGGTGAGGTCCTGAGTGGCATCACATTCTGTGATGTGTGATTGTTTAGCCTCAGGTATATTATTGTGGACATTTTATACGTGGATTATATATACATTTGTGCTAAAGTAGGAGAAACTGATTACCATTTGCAGTCATTTTCTTTAAAATATGCCCCAGTGCCTGCTTTGTAAATAGGCTTTTTGGAACGTGTAACACATTCATAAAGTGGAAACCTTTTGTTCGGCATTTATGACTACAGAGTACATTTTAATTAACATTCTGCTATTCCTTAACTTAAGAAAAAACAAACAGAGCCTCATTCTGACCCCCCCGCCCCTCCACCCAGGTTCAGTATGCTGCGTATGTAACCGTGGGCGGCCTCGCCTCTGTCATTAAGCTGATGTTCGCAGGACTTTTCTTTTTATTCTTTGTGAGGTTTGGCATTGGAAGGCAGCTTCTCATAAAAGTGAGTATTACTTATATGAAACACGGTCTTTAGAAGTATGTTCATGAGTGTTAAAGAAATGCCACTGAGGAGTTGTTTCTTTCCCCTTTAGTTCCCATGGCTCTTCTCCTTCGGTTACTTTTCGGCGCAAGGCCCGACACAGAAACAGGTAACTTCGTTTTCTATCTAGGCCTCTGGCATAACATTTGCTTTTATTTGTTTTTGCCTCTGTCAGTGCAGTTACATAATAGCCTACACTTGGTGGGGCACTGTTTCAGATATTCGTGCATTCTTTACATGAATTTGGTTACTTCACCTTTAGACAGACACCTTTTGAGTAAGTAGTTTCTGCATTTTACCAATGAGGAAGCAGACTCAAGCATGCCTGAGGTCCTGCCACAAGGGAACACCCCATGGCTGCCAGTCTGGAACCAAGTGGGTTCCAGAACCATCTGCTTTTCTTCATAGTGAGATCAAATGTGTCTACTCTTTCATTTTTGGCTTCCTTTTTAGTTTAACCTCCTGTCTCCCCTGCCCTAGCCTCCCCTCCCACTTCTCACTCACACCCTTGGGTTCCTGTGGTGGTCAGACTGAGTTGCCACCTGTCTGACACCCCAGGAGTGTGAGAGCCCCTGGCCCCATCAGCTTCATCTCCTTCCCAGGCATCCGGTGGGGTTGGGGGGGGAGGTTCTGCCACAGAGCAGACAGTGGCCCACAGATGCATGCTCCCCTCACTGGGACTTTTAGTCTCATTTGTTACAGTCCATGTATCTCCTCTTGGGCTCTTTTTCAAAATCTGTTCAACTCTCTTCCCTTTCGTCAATGATCACAACTCCCACTTCATGGACAGAGCTAGAAATATTTGCTAGGAAGCTCCAGTAGCTCCCAGGCTTCAGAGCTCTTGTCACTCCCCCAGCTTCACCTCTTTCCTGTCTCTCTGAAGGACTCTATACACACCCGTCCCGCTTGTGCTCTGTAAACTCAGCTTGTCTTGTGCTGCAGGGGGCTGTGGGCTTGACCTTGCTCAGTGCCCCGGCAGCCAGCCAAGAAAAGGCATTGACCACTGTGGGCAGTTGAGGGAGCAGTCCGAGAGGGTGTCCTTTGCCTCAGGTCAGAGCAGGATGCTTGAAAGTGTCATGACTTTTACTAGATTTTATTGTGTTCAGGGAAGAAATGACATTTAATTTAAAAAAGTGCTTTGCTTTGCTTTTTCTCAGATGGATGCCTCCTCATTTACAATGACATTCTTTGGTCAAGGATACAGCCAAGGTTTTGGTGCCGAGAAGAACAAACCAAATATCAAAATTTGCACTCAGGTTAAAGGACCAGGTATTTCACATATCACTTAAGAATGAGAGTTTCGCCTGTCTTTACATTGCCCCACACAGTCACATTCTTATATATGCCGTTATGATGTATTCTTTTTAAACCCCAGTTGTATTAGAAATCAGTTTACACAAATTATCTATGTAGTAATTTAAAATGATTCTGTCAAAGGAAAGATGAAACTTTTGATGCAATCCAGTAAATTCCTCTGGTTTCCTTCTCAGTGCGGTTCACTAATTCTGAATGACAAATTTTAAAATCATAAGAAAAGGGGCTTCTTGGCGAGTGTGTTTTTTCTCAAATTCAAGGGCCTCTTTGAGCGGAGTGTCGTGACATCAATCCAAAGGTGCGGTGGCCCATTGTAGGGTCTGAGAACACCCTGTACTGTCTGTAAAATGGTGTCACATGTGCCTCTTCCTAAGGAGGGGAAAACAACTTTTGATAAGTTGTTAAAAAAAATCTGCCACCCAAAAAAGCTCAAGAACTGTTGGCCATAAACTTCAGAGAACTGTGTAGGGACTGTCCCGCTTGCGAATTCTTGTCTACGTTTAATTATGACCGTCATTCCCGAGAGGCCGCAGAGCCGCAGTTTGGCAGTTTCCATCAAGCCAGCTAGGAAAGAGGCCTTTGCGTCTTCCTTTCGTTTCAAATTCCCAGCTGACATTTAAAGATAAGTGACTGTTATTTGACAAAACTGTTGATGGCCCACTTCTTCATAGACTTGTTTTGAGTTCAACCAGTTCTTAAAGTCGGGCTTCTGTAAAAGCCGCTCGGTGGTTTCTGTTGAGCAAGTGGCATCTTTCTGAAGCGAAGGCTCTTCGCGGGGTGTTGACGAGCAGGAGGGCTCGTGCTCACTCGTGGCCGAGCAGCAGTGCGTTTCGGTGGTGGTGGGTGGCGTGGCCTTGATCCAGGGCCTGAGCGTGACGCTGGCCCAGCTGCTGGTTTGTGAGTTCGGGCAAGTCATTCACTTCTCTGTGTCTCGGTCTCCTCATTTGTAAAATGGGGGTGAAAATAGATTTAAAACATTTGATACAAGTTCTGAATCTTACCATGTAAGTATTGATTAACTCTTTTTGTTAAGACGTGAACAGCGTTAGAAAGTTCTGTTTTGTACACAAAGACTATAAAACTGTTAGAGCTCGGGTGTTGTTGCGTGCAGGCCTCACGAGCGCCTTCTTTGCTCTGCAGAGGCCGGCTATGTCGCTACCCCCATAGCCATGGTGCAGGCGGCCATGACGCTTCTCGATGAGGCCCCTTCGCTCCCCAAGGGGTAAGTCTGCTTTTCTTGGCTCAAGGGTTTCTTCTCAGCTGTGTTACAGCTCAGCAGGTTTTAGTTAGGTTTCGGAGCAGGTTCTGCACCTAAGCATTTCCATGTCCGTGACAAAGAGATGAAGGGAAACTCAAACTGAGGAGGACAGGTCTTTGCAGGCCTCTGGGGAGAACACAGACTGGAAGGCTCGAGAGCCTCATCAGCTGACTGCGGCCCCTTGCAGGAACAGTGCGGGAAGAGCGAGCGCCTCAGAGCAGGGCCCTGGTGTCGAGTAGGCCAGCGGCGCCTTGAATCGGTCTGGCGACACCACGCTCACTGGCACCCTGCCACCCAGTGTGAGCTGAGCCGTGGGCCGGGCGGGAGATTTTCAGGTAGACGTCTCCCAGGCCATTTGGTTGTTGCCCTGACACCACGCCAGTGGTGCAAGTGAGCAGAGGCCCGCGGCTTAGAGACGCACACATTTAAGTATGCCCTGAAGGTTAAGCAGTAGCCATACAAAGTGAAACCAGTTGAATTTTTTCAGTTACTTATATCGCCCTTGAGAATATTTAGCATCTTCAAATGTCATCCATTACATTTAAAGAATTTTCCTCTTAACCACGTTGTCTAAGCTGTACTGATGCTCGATTACCTAAATTTATTTCACTCCCCTCTGTTTCATCCTCCCGAATCTGAGGAAAGCTTTAGAGACAGCCCGGACGGCTTGCACCGACCCGCGGGAGCCCCTTCAGCAGCCGGTGCTGGGAGCGGCCCCGCTGCTGGCCCGAAGCCAGGCGGGCGTCTCTGGCACTAGCGCCCTCGGGTAGCCGGCTGGCTCCCTTGGCGGTAGCCACGAGAGCATCAAGAATCAGGCTCTCCTGAGGCCCACAGTGACTGGACAGCTGGTCTCCAGCAAGCCGTGACAGCAGGGCGCAGGCCTGGGATGGACTTTGCTCAGTTTTGTCTTACTGTTGCCTTACAGGGGCGGGGTCTTCACACCCGGAGCAGCTTTCTCCAGAACGAAGCTGATTGACAGACTCAGCCAACGTGGCATCGAATTTAGTATCATTAGCAGCTCTGAAGTCTAAACTCATTTGAAGAATTTGCTGGTCATAAGATGCCTGAGTTAACAGCTTTTTTTATTTGATATTTGAAATTCTTCTGTCAGTCCGTTTGACTGTATGTGGAAAAGATTGTCCAGTCTCACTTGTACACACCAGAAACAGGAAATTGTAGTGGCTCATCTAAATTTCAAATCTTACCCAATTTTGTGATTTATTGATTGTGAGAGGTCTAATGTTGACTGACTTTCATTGACGTTTCCATGGTCAGTTTTTGTAACGGTGATCGAAGGTGGGGTAAGCTGCTCTTCCTGCTGCTAACAGCTCCCTGACGGGTGCTCGGGCTGTGTCCATGGCTGCAGGCCCTGCCGCTCCCCCACCGTGCTGGGGGGCGGGGGGCTCTACTTTCCCATGAGTCTGTGTATCGTGTGGGTCTTTGCTGAATGACTTTTTGCCATTTTTAACTTAGTTTTTAACCCATCTACACTGACTGATTCTGGATTGCTACCTGAGTTGAATAATAAAGGCTTGTCAGTTGAATGGTGTCCTGTGCCTAGACCCGTTTTTGAGTAGTGAGTGAGGTGCTGTCTACTGCGCACCAAGGGGCTTGGCTTCCGCCTCCCCGGCTGTGGACCTGTCGTGGCTTGGAAGGATACAGTTTGTATGTTTCTGTTGATTTTCACTTCCTAAGCAGAATTTTTCTCTGATTTACTTGTTTTATTAAATAAAATTAAATTTTTCATTAACGCCCAGATAAGGCAAAGGACTTTGTGTTTTCTAATAAGCCTGTGAGAAGCTCACAGAACACCCGCCGGTGTGCTGTGACGCTCCCCGCACAGAGGACAGCCTACCTGCGCGGGATGGCTTCTCCCCGGCGAGAATGTGGCCCCGACGAGCCCCTGTGGGAGACGTCGCGCCTGCTACGGCAGCAAAGGAGGAGCCTGCCTGAGGGAGCACTCTGGCCGGATCAGGACTCGGCCTCACTTGTAAAGTTTTACAGAAGTTGTACAGAAACAGCAGGTCTCGTGACCAGCTGCTTGTCGGGGTCACAGGACAGGGAGGGCATTTCGCCACAGGGCAGGGCTGGGCCTCCCGAGCCAGGCTCCGCAGTGGGACACCGGGAAGCTGCTGGCGGTCCCTGCTGTGCTCTGCCCTCATGTTACGCTGGGGGACAGGCCAGCTTGAGGCACAGGCCATCTTAATTTGCTTTCGCCTCCCCACGAGTAAACAGTAACAGAACACTCAGCCCGCTCTCGCTTGCAGAACGCGTACGACTTGCTGAGCATGAGGACTGTCTTGAGGCAAGTACTGCCCTTTCCACAGCTGTACCAGAAGTTAGACCGCTTGTGTTTCTCGTGGTCTCGCTCCTGTTCTACCTCCCGGAACGAACCTTCCGGGATCCTGTGATGTTCTGCCGACTCCCTCTCTGCCACCGCCCCGTGAAACGCCACACGCGAGCTCCAGCGTTGCAGGCTATTTTGTCATTCAGACACACACTCAGGCCCTGAACTGCAGGCAAAACCCATAAGCCCTTGGAAGCTGGTCTGAAGCCGCAGTCACCAGCTCAGGTTCTCCACGGCCCCCAGGGAAGTTGCTGTTTGGAGTCCTGATGCCCCTCCTGCCAGCAGGTCCAGAGCCAGCCAATGGGTTCCCCTCACTTCATATTCTGGGGAGCAAGGCTTGCTGTTACCACCTCGCTTTCCTTCTTCCTGTTTTTTACACACATCAGTGCAAAGACGCCCAGGACAGCCCCGCGCACGTGGCAAGGTGCAGGCCGTGGGTTAGGAATGCAGCCGGAGTCAGCCGTGGCTTGCGTGGCCTGGCCTGGCCAAGCCGCCCCCTTGGCCTCGAAAGCCTCCAGGTGGAAGACGTGCAAACACGTGGAATTAGTGGAGAGTGAAATGAACAGACGTGAGGCTCTCAGACCGGCGCCGCCACTTAGCTCAGTGACAGTCAATACTGTCATCAGGAGGCTCCGGCCCGCAAATCGTTTCTTCGTGCGATCAGCTCAGCTGCTCGCCGCTCGCTGCAGCTTGTCCCCTCCACGCCGCGAGGGGCTTCACCCTTAGTCATCCTGCAGGTGGTTCTGCTTAAAAACAGCAAAAGACTCCTGCCGCTCCAGCTGCTGCTCGTGTGCTCGTTCGGCGCGTTCCTGCCACCTCTTTTGTGAAGCGGCAGCTGAGGAGACTCCAGAGCTCACCCTGGGCGAGGAAAAGCCCAAGGACGGAGTCAAGACCGAGAACAACGATCACACTGATTTGACGGTGGCGGGTCAGGATGGCTCTGTGGCGCAGTCTGCCATTAAGAGGCACGCCCCCCTGAGGAAACGGATGAAAGCCGATTGCGAATGACAGGGTTTGTTGGTGAGGCAGATTCCGATTGACGGGCAGCCGATCAATGAAGCAGACACACCTGCACAGTTGGAAATGGAGGATGAAGATCCAACTGCTGTGTTCCAGCAGCAGACGGGGTGCCTGCCGAAAAGGGGAGCTGCTGCTTTACTCCAGAGCTGTTTCCCCAGACCAAGAAGACATTCTCAGTTAGAAGACCGCAGTCTGGTTCGCCACGTCCTGACTACGACAGTATAGTTTCTCTCTCCTTTCGTTTCCCCTCCCCCACCCCTTTACTGTACATCAAGTAACTGGTGTATGTGCACAAGCATCCTGCATTTTTCTTAAGTGGCCAGTGGTGTGCTCTGGTTGGCATCAAATGGAAATGGGCTGGGGAAATGCTGGTTCTGTGAAGATACCCCCCCCCCACTGGCATGCTCATTCAGCTCTTATCTTTATATTCCAGTAAGTTATTTTGCTCCCAATGTTTAACCAAAAAAAGAGAACAACATAACACTTGGAGAATTTTAATGTTTTTCATTTATCATTGTAAAACCAAGGACAGTTTTCCAACTTTTTTGTACGGAGCTGTTCCCTGTCGGACAATCTGCTTCAAGTGGGGATAAATTACTCCAAAAGAAATGAATCCTAGGTAGTTTTCCCTTCACATCACGCGTCTTGTTGTTTAAATAAACTTCTTGTTTAAAATGAAAAAAAAAAAAAAAAGAAACAGGTTAAGTGGGAAACGGCTAAGTGGATATGTAGTTTCCGGTTCATCCGACCGTGAAGAAAGTCCATTGGCAGCAAAAATAATCAGCAGCACCCAAACTGGTGTTCAGCTGGTTACTGGGGGTGCTGCAAGTGTTCTCTCTTCTTTTTCACTATAAGGGCAACATCATTTTTCAGTTTCCACAAGCTGGATTCTAACAGCTCCCCGAAGTCCTTTAAGATCTGTGACTGTCGGTGTACAAATGGTCGAAGCATTTGATCATCTTCCTAAAAGATAAGTGGAAGGGAAAAAACAGGAGTGGACACAAATTAGAGTGGAAATGCTGAGCATGCTTGGGGGGCTCCCCACCCTGTGCCCCCTTGGGCTAGAAGGCTGCATTTGGAAGTCGCCAAGAGGCGGGACATCTCAGGGAGGCCACCCAGGAGACCTTTCAGCGAATGCCAACAGGAAAAACGTGACGCGTTAATCTAAACATTACAGGTACGGATGGTGTCTGTGCTATGGTGTATGCTCTTTCAAGACCATATAAGACAAAAAAAAAAACAAAAACCAAACACCCGTGGGGATTCTCCCGCCGGGTGGTGTGGCTGGTACATCCCCGGCTCATGGGAGCAGAGAAGGGGCCGCGGCGACACCCAGGACCACGCAGGAGCCTGGTGGAGGCTCTCAGGGCCGGGCTGCTGCCGGGCTGCAAAGAGCGGAGAGGGTCACGCCGCCCCGCTTAGTTCCTGTGTCCCGAAGGACCTGAGGAGGTGCTTGGCCCATTTTTCCAATGTGTTTTCCAACGCATCTTACCTTTTTTTGAGAGTAGTTATTTATATATTCTGCATACTGATCTCTGATGGTAAATAAGGCAGATTCTCCTGGGCTATGACTTATTTTAACTTGGTTTATCTCACCAGCCTGCCTTTGTTTTACTAAGATGTGCATACAAACGAGGACCCAACATGGACACGCAGGTGCCGTTATGGTGGACACACCAGCTCAAGACAGAACTGGGGTGCAG